TGGGGGGGGCTTTTTTTTCACAGCCAAAATGATTGATTTATTACAAGAAATGAATATCCCCAAAGATATCTAGCAAATTGATCTCTGATTCAGTGGATCTTTCTTTTTTTAATTTTTTATTAAATTTTTGTGTATTTCATATAGAAAATCATCTTTATACCCGTTCCCCTTTGGCACCTCCCATAGCCCCACACACAGACTGGAGTTCCTACCTTCTGTCACTTGTGTTAAGGCCTATCATGTAAAGTTAGTGTCCCCAGATGTCCCTCAGTGCAAGTTCATCCACTGGGATCTAGTCAGCCTATCTGAGTCCCTCCCTTTAAGATCAGCTCTTCCTCACCCAGCAGTAATCAGCCGCCAGTAATTCTTCGACTAAGATTGGATCCTGCTGTCCATTTCCACAGTTCTGTGCTGGACTTTTGTCTCCTTAAGCTTGCATGAGTACAGTAAATATATATAATTTATTTATTTTTATGTGTATGAGTGTATTGCCTGCATGTAGGTAGGTGTACCTGTGTCATGCAGTGCCTATGGAGGTCAGAAGGAGGCATCAGATCCCCTGGAACTGGAATTACAAACAGTTGTTAGCCACCATCTGGGTACTGGGTCCTCTCCAATAGCAACCAGTGCTTTTAACCACTGAGTCATCTCTCTAGCCCCTATAGTTTATGTTTTTAAAATGCTATTTTATATTTGCATGTTAAGTACCTGATTGGTAATTAAAGCTAATTTATGTTTCTCTTCAAAAGAGAGGATATGTGTACTTAGTTTGTCCATAACTTCAGCTCCAGGGGATCTGACAGCCTCTTCTGACCTTCGTGGGCATTGCACAACACAGGTGCACTTACCAACATGCAGGAAATACATGCATACACATAAAATAAAAATAAATAAAATATTTTTTTTAAAAAAAAGCTAAACTGATATTGGCCTGTAGGGAAATTGGTTACCATCCATGCATACTGTGAGACTTGTGCTTCCCAGTGGTTAATTTTACGGTTAGGGTATGGTGTGTGTCCAAGTGAGTCTGGGCACCGGGACTGGATGGCAACAGTGGGTAAAAGGCCCGGCGAGCAGCACTGGAGGGAAGATACACTTTCACTTACTTCAGTTTGCAGCCCATCCCTGCCATATCAGATGGGACAGTTTCACGTCTCTGCCTGTTTTAACAATGGATTCAGCTCCAAGCCTATAGGGTATTTATTATTTTATGTGTATGAGTGTTTTGCCTGCATGTATGTAAGTGCACCCATGTCATGCAAAGCCCACCCGTGGAGGCCAGAAGAGGGTGACAGATCTCCTGTAACTGGAGTTACAGATGGTTGTTAGCCACCATGTGGGTGCTGGGAATGAAACCTGGACAGGGTCAGTGCTCTTAACCACTGGGCCATCCCCCCAGCCTGCCTCTAGGGTATTTTGTTTGGAGGTCATTCCATATCTCCAGATGATGATGCCGTTCAGTTTAGTGGTGACCAAAAGTGTTGATCATAGGCATCTTTAATATTTTTTCATCTCCTGAAAGATAGGAAAAGAAGAAACTAAACTTTGTTCACTAGGTACTTGAGTGCCATGTTTGCCATGAGAGCTGCTGATAGATAAAACCCTTGCCTTCAAGAAGCAACTGTCTGTAATGCAAAACTCACCCCTAACCACTAGGTCACATGTTAAAAATTCAGTTGCCTAAATTATGCTGTGGTGGGTTTACAAGATTATGAAAACACTAGGGAGAACTTTGAAAACTAAGCAGCAGGGGGCGTCCAGGGGCCAGGAACTGGGAGGCGATTACTTGTCTGGGTGCACTGTCACTTGATGTCACTATTGTTTCCTTTGGATAGTTTAGTAGAACTGCTGCTTGACCTCAGATTTTATTTCCGCCAAATATTGGGAGAGGCATTCCACCTTGGGCCCGGAACATCTATCTTCGCATTTTTGCTGGGCATGCTAGGGATTCAAGACTGCTCTCCAAACCATTTCTGAAGACTGCGTTTGCTGTGAGCCACACTGAAGGAAGAGGTGTCATACCACCCCAAAGGGAAGGCTGGTTTCTACTTACTGCAACACAGGGAAAATGCCGGCTCAGAGTTCCGCAGCCAAGATGCAAATGGCTACGCGTGTGGCATGCATGTTGACTCTTCCCATGGAACTTGAGGAAGAAGGGAATCCAGAGTGACCAGGCTGGCACTTTACCTGCTGCTGTGCCCTGCACTGTGAAGCCCTTTGTCTCGGACCCAGGAGTCCACACTCACTTGTTGGCTTTATAAGTAAAGCCTTAGATGCTTCACAAACCTTGAAGTTTAACATCTCATTTTCGCCTAATAAAATACGTCAGAAACATAAAACTGGCTTACTTACTAATATATCTTGGAACAGAAATGAATTCACACAGCGCAATGTAGGCATGTGAAATGGGCATTTAATCCATATATTGAAAGTGGCATAGCATTTTATAAATTGTGTTTGATATACTTTTGTTGTTTGAGACAGGGCCTTCCTGTAGCCCCAGATGACTTGGAACTTGCTATGTAGACCAGGCTGGCCTTGATCTCACAGAGATTGCCTCTGCATCTAAGTGCAGAGACTAAAAGCATGGACCACTATGTGCCTGGCTTTTAATTTCCTCAAAACTTTGAAGTAAGCAAGGTAGGAGAGAGGTGTTGCCCTGTTTTCATGAGATGATAGGGTGGGTAGATGTTAGAACTGAACTTGAGTCTTATTTTCACTGAGTATGCTTTGCTGCCTCCCTGTCATAAATTCTGTGACCACCACCATAGCTTGCTTATCACAGTTACAATTTAACTACATTTAAAAAAGGGAGAAACTTGGTTCCTTCTGGAAAATGAACTCAAGAAAACCACAAGTGTTTGACCTCAGAGACTGTTAGAATAAAGGAAACTCGCTTTATTCTATGATCTCCATGTCACAAATCCAAGCTTACATTTCCAAAGGCCCCGCTCTGCTGTTTCCATGTTTCCACACTATTATGAGGAATAAAAAAAAAATTTTTTTCTGCATCTCTCCAGAAACTTCCAGAAAAATGAGTGATAAATTCCTGGTATAGAAATTATTTTTTCTAATAAAATGAAAACTGTTCATTCAATAAAGTAATCTGTATCTCACCCTAGCTTTGTTGCACCCAACCATGGAAAGGATGACCATAGTACCCTAGGCCCTGGTATCATCAGCTAATCCATCTGCAGCTACATGTCTGGTATTATACCAGCAGTAAAGTTACTGGATCTCACCAGTAATCAGTGAGCTGACTTTGATGACCTGATTGTATATTGGGACATACACTAGACTTTGGCCATTCTATGTAGTGTCTTGAGATTAAATTATATCAAAGGTAGTTAAACTCAAAGGCAGAAATAAATGTTAAAGGTTGTATTGCTTTGCAACAGCTTTCCTAAAGGAAGTGGCAAGATGCCTTTCCTAAAGGAAGTGGTGCATGTCTTTAGTCTCTGCACTTAGAGGCAGAGGCAGGCAGATCTCTGTGAGATCAAGGTCAGCCTGGTCTACATAGCGAGTTCCAAGTCAGCTGGGGCTACAGGAAGACCCTGTCTCACTACTAGAGATATTTAAAATGAAAAATGAAATTGCCTAGGCTAGGGGTTTTGCTAATGAGAGAGCGGTTGTCTAGCATGCATAAAGCCCTAGGTCCTATCTCCTGCACCTCACCTCAAAATTGCTCAAACACAAAATAATAAAGAAATAGAGGAATTAACTAGCACACTTAACTAATGGATCAAAACAAGAAATCACAAAGGAAAACTGAAAATATTGCAAGACAGATGATATTGAAAACCTATGAGATGCAACAAAAAGTGAAATTTACTTTCTGGGGCTTGTGAGATGGTTCAGCAGGTAAAAGCATGCCACCAAGCCTGACAGCCTGAGTTCAAACCGGCTTGTGAGATGGTTCAGCGGGTAAAAGCATGCCACCAAGCCTGACAGCCTGAGTTCAAACCGGCTTGTGAGATGGTTCAGCGGGTAAAAGCATGCCACCAAGCCTGACAGCCTGAGTTCAAACCGGCTTGTGAGATGGTTCAGCGGGTAAAAGCATGCCACCGAGCCTGACAACCTGAGTTCAAACCGGTGACCCGCAACATGGAACTGACTCCCATATTTAGCCTCTAATCTCCACCTGTGCATCATGGCACAT